ACTGGATGACCTTGTTTACCGTCTGGAAAAAATAAGGTGTAACATGTGAACGAAGTAGAAGTATATGGCACTGATATTTTATAAAAAATAAAAAGAAGAATTTTGAAATAAATAAATAAATTTATTGAAATCAATGGAAATTCAAATCCGAATACATGATAGGGCCACGTTGCAGCTTTATTATGGTTGTAGCAGGAATGGATCGGCAAAACCGGGGAAAGACCACGCTCTCACAGAATACCAGCGTAAAATAGCAGCTTAATACTGCTGTGTTTCGTATGGTGAGTGTAGAGATCCGGAGACACTTTTTAACTGAAAGCGAGGCATTCCATCTTAGTCCTCAGGGGTGACAACGCATCTGCGTATGTAGATGACTATGGGCCAGAGCATCTACTTACCATTAGGTGGACGGTGTGCTCGTTTGTCATACTTATTTTATAAAAAAGTTATTACGGATGAGAAGATGTTTGACCGAGTGCCTCCAAAGTCGGGTATTTTCTTTTAGGTGTACCTTATGTTTATTTCTTTGCGATGTGCTGCGGTACGAGCTTCTTTCATTTTGAAAAGGGAGCTGTTACATTGATTTAAAATCCTGATTTTCTTCTTTTTTTTTGGCTAAAGTTTTACACACATGGGAATAATATACCAATAGATCTTGCTTGAGGTACATTTTGAGGAACGTGTTAATTTATATATACATATATTATATACACATATGAAAAAAAATGGAAGTTTCTGTGTGTAATATCGAAATAACTGCCTTAAATTTGATCTCAGGGAGTTATTTGTATGCCATTAAGACATGAATAACCATTTAAAAACTTTGTCTGTCTGTCTGCATATCCGTGCTAATGTTGAAATGGCTGAACCGATTGTAACGAAACTTCACGACCAGATAGAGAGCAGCCCGGAATGATGTAGACTATATTTCATCTGCAAAACTTGGTGGTTTTTTTTTTGAAAAACCGAAAAATGTATAAAATAAATGGTCTATGTTTATCTAAATCTAAATAACGCCAAATTAATAGACCTCACCCAGAGAAAGCAGGGTCGGGTCACTAGTTAGTTAATATAATAACAATAGATCACGTTTTTGTTGTTTTTAATAATAATTTACTTGTTATATATTAAATCAAGTTGTTATGTGAATTAAAGTACTTAGTACAAATACGGCTTTTGTCCTTTTAATTTAACCTGTAGGGGTAGTTGTTCACAACCTTCGTAACAAGAAACACAAAGCGAATGGGTGCCGTCCGATGCTTGTTAGCTTTAACTCTGTTACGTCACGAAAAATCGAGACATGTTGGACAGTAACCAATAATAATTTCAACATTCGTATTTCGATTTATCTTTTGAAATACAAGTTTTAGCAGCAGAAAAGCAACTTTTGGTGAATAAGTAAAAACTGTAAACTTAACTTAGAAACTTGAAGTTTTGTAGTCATACATGTTAAATTAAAATAAATCGGCCAAGTGCGAGTCGAACTCGCGCATAAAGGGTTCCGTACCATCGTACAAACACGTTACTAGTACCAACAAATAGAAATAAATTAAAAATAAAGGTGGCCTTTTTTAAACCTTTAATTTTTAATTTATTTTTATTTTTATCTGTGAAAATTTCAATTGTCTACCTATTACGGATCATGAGATACAGCCCATTGACAGACATACGGACGGAAAGCGGAAGCTTAGTAATAGGGTCCCGTTGGTTACCCTTTGGGTACAGAACCCTAAAAATAAATAAGCATATACAACAAATGTGCAAAACAAATAAAAAGAGCCTAATACGAGTAAAGCATCACATGTAATAATATCCGAAGAATTTTAATTATTTGCGGTTTTGGATTGGAAAGAAGATAAAAAAGTTAAAGTTAAAGTTACAGCCTTTATCCTCTCGGCTGTCCAAAACCTTCCAAAGGTCGCTATTAAAAAAGTAAGCGTCTGTACACAACCTTCTAAAGGTTGCCATTTACTTATAAACTTCAGACACGAAACAGCCGTAGTAAATGTATCTGTATCTCCCTCTAACTCGTACAACATTGTTTTCATGTCATTAACCTACTTATCTCGGTATGGAATTGTCGCTATTGAAGTACATAATGTGCCTTTTTTGTGCCTGTTTCGGGTCATCTTAAGTGTGAAGTGACATTATTGTCGAGCTTGTGGTGTAAAAAAAATGTACGCAGAGTTGTTTTTTTTTATTAATTATTGTAAAGTGTATTTATCTTATATTGTAAATAAAATAAATATTTATTGAAGTAATTGTTTTTTTTACAAAATTTTATTCACCAAACTGGAAAAATAGCTTTTAGCATTTTTACCATGGAGTTTAGAAAATATAAAAAAGTTAAATGTACACATTTACACATATTCTATTAGCTTACTTAACAATAATTCTAACAACATATTATTTTATAGTTTCCATTCATAATTATTAAGATATTGCCATTTTAATGAAATTCAGGTCCTTAACGACTTAACTTGAGGATGGAATACCTCACAGCCTGTAATTATACTGGGTCTCTGTACCCTTCCGAATGGAACAGCTGTGCAAGCGCTGATATTAGCAGCAGAAATAGTCTCAACTATTTCTGCCGCTAATATCAGCGCTTGGGTGGTACCCAGGCAGACTTCTCGGTAAAAAAAGGAGAACTACCTACATATTTACAACTAGTAAATAGGTAGGTAGTAATAGTAGGGTTTTTACTAAATCAATTCCATGGTAGAGCCATGCTGCAGTTATATTAGTAGTATAATTGTAGCCCGAATAGGTCGGCTCGACCGGAGAAGGACCACGCTCTCACAGAATACCAACGTAAAATAGTATCTTAATGCTGCTGTGTTTCGTATGGTGAGTGTAGAAAACCGGAGACCCTTTCTACGGGAAACGGGGCATTCCATCTTAGTCCTCACGGGTGACAACGCATCTGCATTTTGAATCGTAATCGAGGATAGATGTAGATGTCAATGGACCACAGCAACCACTTACCATCAGGTGGACTGTGTGCTCGTTTGTCACCCTATCCTATAAAAAATCCGTATTTTTTAAACAAAAAAAACATCATACTTATTAGCCTTCTTATGAGGGAGTGATGGCGTAGGCATCGATAACACAAGACACCGTGCTCTGTATTTTATTTTTAGATTAAACTTCTAATACAATTATGTATATAAGTAGTCCAACAACAATAAAATAAGCTTATACAAATAAGTATTGCAGAGCTTTGTCATTCATTGGAGCCGCAAATACGCGTGGGCACGGAAATAGAAAATGTCACTGCCAGTCTGTCAGTGTCGTTTTCAACCTTGATGCCTGTGCGTAGTAACATTTGCATGTCGAGACCTATCGTTCTTTACAGTGTATTTTTACTTGTATCCACTGTTGTATATATACTTGAATCGGGGGTTGATATATATAATAGGTCATACAGTTGATTTTTCTCTGTCAAATGAAGTATTACTTTAAATCTCTTTTTTCGTATTTTGGATAACATTTATCGATAAAGAAATTTAATACTTCTAGGTTAAATTTTGACATATATTTCGTAAAGTATAAGTAACTGCGTAGGGTGGATTATTACGAGCCTTTTATGCCAATTTCAACTTTAAAGATTCGTGCTAATTTAACTAAAGCGTTCATGCAAGTCACAAAGCCTAAAGATGATATTATGTGACCTAATTTTATGTGGAGCATAACTTGTCAAAAATTTTGTAAAATGGGCGTTGTCCGTTGCGTAAGTGTTTTGATTTAAAATTTAATACTGATAGATTTATAACTGTTTGGTAATATTTGAAATATACTTTCGTCTTATTACGAAAAATATTTAGTTGTTAATATTTATAGTTAAAACCACTAGAAATCTGTATTTGAAATAAAAAGGTGAAACGGCTGGTATTTGGGGCAGGGCTGGCATAAGGGCATCCACCCTAATATATTCAATATTTAAAAAATAACCTAAAGAGTTGCAATCTTACTTCGATATAAGTACAACCACCAATCTTACTATTCATAACGTAAAATAGTTGATCAAATAATCAATAATAACGCTATAAAGCCACAATATATCATAATTATAAAGTTTATTTCGGTTTAATAAAAACAAAAGTTTCTCAAAGGAAGTCTTATGTTCATTTTATTGCGATTGTATTCCATAGACACCAAATTCATTCCTGTTAAAGAAGGTCACACGAGGTAAAGGTAATTTAACTTCCGGATCAGAACTAGGGAAATAATATCTCGCTTCTGTTACCTAATTATGTCTCCGGTTCTCGATCGATAGCGTACATTAGCATTAGCTAATGTCGGCGTGGCGAGGTTATGACTTATGATACCTTGTCATTCTACTACGCAATGTAATAACACATAACTCAATGGAATAATACATAACGCAATGGAATAGTACATAACTCAAAAGAATAATAAGCCAATATTCGTAGTACGAATTTAGGTTTAGTTTTGTCTTATTGCGTACAGGTATCAATTTAGATGTCTTTTTATATTAAATTTTGGTTAATTAATTAATTTTGGTTACAGTGTTATCACAATAAAAAAGTAACTAGGTGCGGAGTGACCTTCAACGCCAATGATTTCTACCAGAGTTACACAATCGCACTGCTTGTTGTGGTCTTGTACCCATGTCTGTTACACTGTATTCTCATTTACCTTCGATTTTATAGCGTTACCATTTTGTAGCTTCCAGTATTTGGCCATAGTTGAAAATCGGTTAAAATGACATTATTCTACACACGTAACGCTAATATTTCACGCAAGAGTTGGTTAGCAGTGCATATATAAGGCAGCTTCTTATGCAGCCCCACCCCCCTCTCGCTATTATGTTTCCATGAATGTACCAACCTATTAGCGACCTAGACTTATTGCAGCCACTATTTATTGCAGCTTGACTGCCACGTGGCAGTTTTTAACAATGTATCTCACTTACATGAAACATAAAATCTAAAATATACAATTTAAATATCTCAGCACGGCCAACATTTTGTTACCTTTAACGCGTCCTCGTGGGATATCCCAGAAAATGGAGTGCCGTTGACCTGCATGATGGAATCCCCAGGGCGAAGACCCGCACGCTCCGCGACAGACCCTTCTTCCACCCGCGATATGTACACTCCGACTCCTAAACAAATCAATAACAAGTTTTCACAAGTAAAAATTTGCGGATCGAAGTTTTATAATTAAATTGTACAAAATAATCCATTATGTTAAAACAAAAACGTTATATAAAAATTTGTTCTATTTTGTATGTATTATAAACTAATATCTTATTATATTATTTTATATTTGTATTTATGGAAATTTTACACAATACGATACAATATTTATAAAAATGTTTTTAAAATTCATATAATATAGATGTAAAATTCATATTAAACAATTTATACATTATCAGTTTAGAAAAGGCCAAACACACTCAAGGACAACATTGTACAATATTGTACTAGTATATGACACATTTAATGTATATTGTCCTGGGACCACGGATGAGCAAGACTTTCTTCAACACTAACAACTGGATAAGCATCTTGCAAGTCTGTTGTTGGCACTGTGCTTTGTAGAAGATCAGCGTCGGTTTCGTCAAGCCACTCGGCATCATCATTTTCGCGCACTACACCGACAATCTCTCTCGATCTACCGATCGATCCGTGAAGGATGAACATTGTGCATCTCTAGACTATTATTGTTCTGATTAGGTTCAAGCTTGTGACATGAATCTACATATACAGGCGAGTCAAGATCACATTACATGGTGGTTTTCGGTTTAGAATCGTGCGTTTGACGAAAAAATAAATACACGTGATATCTTACTACAACGCCCACCCCTTGTGATATTTCGTGATTTTTCCTCAAACCCCCTCCTCCCCCCTTTCAAGCCTCACGTGATTAATGGACGACCACTAATTTATAAACTACATACATCCATCGATGTCGTAATTAATCATTATCAATTATAATTTTTTGCTTACTATTTAGCTACAAAATTTATTGAGATCCAAGTCTATTCATTTCAATTTAATTTACGCGTATTTTAGTATAAACAAAAACGGTATATTCCACCATAAATTAAATATCCAGAGAGGATGTTATTCGTTTACAATCCATTGATTAGATGGCTTTGTTTGATCACTCAGTCTATTTATGTTATAACTCCCAATTGGGTAGCTAATCGATAAGCCCCTGTCTGTTGCCTACTCTACCTTACGCTTGATTTAACTTATGAAACCATTCACTGATTAAATAAATAATAAAATTAGCGATTATATGGGGTTACTGGTTATTGGACCTATTCCTGTTAGGAGGTTGTGGGGGAGGCTATTACCGATGAATAAGACCATAAAGTCTCTGAGTAAAAGTGAACCAGTTATGAGAAAAAATACATTTAATTTTATAATATTAATAGTTACTTACGGCTGACCGCTAAGCCGCCGTAGAGTCAACATCACCTGAAGATGCCTCGTGTAGAGGCGAAACACGTGTCGTATTATCGTCGATGGTGTGTCTTTCCTAGAATAGTGGTGTTGGGAGTAGTGGTGCTGGGATTAGTGGTGACCGGATTGCACGCAATTGAGGGAGGGCGGGAGGTGCTCTTCAATCTAGATAAGACACATCATTGTATTTAATTAAGCGGATGTTTGCAAAGTAACTATTTATATCTTTATTATAATGGATTTACGCAAAGTAACGCCTGATTCTATCAATTACATTTAATTTTTTTATTTATTTATCGAGGAAGACGTTTTAAAAATTAATAAAAGGAAAAGTATTGGCTGCAATCAAATTTTGAAGTGATCGGCTCGATTCACTGGCGCTGCGAAGAGATGTTGCATCTCTTTGCGTATTTTATCGCATCTATCACGGGGAGTGCTCTGAGGAATTGTTCGGATTGATCCCAGCCCCCAAATTTCGTGAACGCACTACACGGCAAACGTCCCGATACCATCCACACCATCTGGATGCTTGGCGGTCCACCACTGTACGTTTCACAAGGAGTTTTCTTCCACGTACAACCTCTCTGTGGAATAGTTTATCACCGGCGTTTTTTCCGGACCGATACGACCTGGGGACCTTCAAGAAAAGAGCTTACTCCTTTCTAAAGGGCCGGCAACGCACCCGCAATTCTCCTGGTGTTGCGGTTGATCATGGGCGGCGGTAGTCACTTAACATCAGGTGAGCCGCATGCTCGTTTGCCCCTTCTTCTATAAAAAAAAAAACTTCTTTAGCGGCGTTGTGCACTTTTTTGTAATGGGTAAAAAATGTTAAACTCGCGTCAGGACACGTGACCCTGATCGAAAATTCGTAAGACGGATGGAGAGAGAGAGAGACAGCCGGCGCGGCGTAGGAGAGGAAGTATCCCCCTCTCTTTCTACGGCGCGGCGAAAATGTATGCCTGCGCCTGCTGTTTCGTTTAGGCGGCGCAGGGCGCTTGCGCGAATGTAATATAAATTGTCATGTTTGTGTACGATAGCGCCCCGCCTGTGGCATCGCTTCCGAGCGGTAGCATCCAGGTAGTCCGCGCTTTCGTCCCTGTACGGTAGTGCTCTCCCGCTCTCGCGCCCCCGCCGTCCCGCTCGCGCTGTATAGCGCCGACGCAGTGCCAGCGTTGTTCTTGATACGGCAATTGCCGTAATATACGGCATTCAGGCATCTTAGGCAACGAAAATACGGTATACGGCAGCTATTTAATTACCGTATTAAAATATACGGTAGTTGTCTAAAGTAAAAAAAAATATTTCGTATAATGGAACACACCAACTTGTGAACCATGAAAGTTAGAGAACAGGAGAATGATCACTACGTACTAAAGCATAGACTGCCTGTCCTTGAAAATTGTAGAGTTTATAGCGGCGCTGACGTCGATGAGTAGTGACTGCGAAGTTAGCTGTTCATGAGTACAAGTCGATGAAGTTAGTTCAATAATGTACAAATTTTCTACGCGGCGTTGGTGAGAAAATTTTCATGTTCCGTAAATTTGTAATTTTTGACAAAAAGAAACATTAAAAAAAATTGATAAATATTTTATTGTACGTGGATGTGCAAGTGGTTTAGCATCTGATCGGAAAAATAGACTGAAAGTGACTTTTATTGACCGAATTAGCGATCGCAGCGCCTCACAGCGATCGCAGCGCCTCACTTACGGTGTCCAAATTTCTGGGACACTATTTTCTACGGCGATCGTTCTTCTGTTCTCTAACCTTCAGAACCATGGAGATCCGCATCTGTAACGGTAATTGTACAAAATTTCAAGTGCCAAACTAAATCTTCTACAGTGATTAGTAAAATGAAAGATAAAAAACAGTACGACCCAAATGCGACAGAATCATAAGTACTGAAAACTATTCAAAACCTATATGGTGAAGAATAAAATTAGTACAACTATAGTACATACTTATTTATTACGTAAACAACATGTATTTCACGTGCTTTTTTTATTGTAAACAAATATTTAGTACAATACGGCATTTTTCTTAATTTTCCCTAAAAATCCGGCAATTTTAGAGGTAGAATAAGGCAACTCTAAATTTGTCAGGAACAACGCTGCGCAGTGCTCAGTCCGCCGGCGGCATCGTTCTCGGACGGTCGCCTCCTGGTGGTCCGCGCTCCCGTACAGTACGGTAGTGCTGTCTCGCTCTCACGCGCCTCCGCTGTCCTGCTCACGCGGAACAGCGTCGAGGCTGCCGGTGAGTCACTTTCACGCTACAGTTCTTGCCCCCCTGTCTTCGGGCAGGGAGGTCTGACTGACTTCCGCTTTTCATTTTCATTTTTCATTTTCACTTTTATATCATTTTCATTATCATTTTCATCTATCTTTTTTTTTTTACTGTCTCCTTTATTTTCTTGTTGTTCTTGCATTACTATTACATGCATAGTGTGTCGTAGTACGTCTCGCGATCTAGTCCCTGTTCTACCGAGAACAGGGACCCGTCCTCATCTTTACTTAGCTGAGCTTACTGACCCAAAATGGCCACATCCAGCTTCACTGAGTCCCTCGCCGCCCTCATTAACCAATTCGGTTTAAATGGCAATGAGACGGTCCTCGCCGCCATCGCCACCATCGCCGCCCAGGCTCCCCTCCCTGCCCCTCAGGCACACCATCCGCCGCCGGTAATCGCGTCTTACCTCGAAACGAGGAACTCCTTTGCCCCCCTTGAATCTGCCCCCTTAGAATTGGAGTACGCACGCTCCGAGTCCTTGGCGCCGACCTCCCGGAAGAGGCCCGCCACTACTTCAGGCTCCGGCTCATCGGAGTCCTCTGACTGCGACGGAACCGGGGAGTCCACGTTCACCACCGTCACCTCCAAGCGCAACGGTAAGCGCGCCGCGTTAAAACGTACCCCCCTATCTCAGCGGCCCCTGCCGCTCCTACAACCTCAGCAGCCCCCGACGCTGCCGCCGTCCCACTTATGTCACTAGACATCCCCACACCGTCCAAACCAGCCTCTCGTTGTGCTCCAGTCCTTGCTAAGAAGCAAGTCCCGCCCCCTGTCTTCCTAAGAGACAAGGCTAAATTCACCCAGTTGTCAAAAACCTGCTACAACGCAGGTATAAAGTACGATCATGCCGTCAACCTCGGGGAGGCGATCAAAATCATCCCAAGCTCGATCGAGGATTTCCGTCAAATCACCCGACTATTCACAGCCGAACGAGTCTCGTACCACACTTACGCTCTCCCTGAAGAGCGCAAAGTCAGGGCCGTCATCCGAGGCGTCCCCTTCGAGTTCTCCAACGAGGAAATCCTTGAGGACCTTAAGTCCCAAGGTTTCCCCGTAGAAGCAGTGCACAAAATGCACAGTAGGACGGGCAAGAGATTCAACCTTGCCCTCATCATCCTATCCAACGTAGAGGAGGCCAAAGCCATCTTCCGGCAGGTACGCACAGTGTGTGGCCTGTCGAGAGTGAAGGTCGAGCCCCCACATAGGCGCGGTTTCCCGGCGCAGTGCCACCGCTGCCAACTTTATGGTCACGCGGCGGCCAACTGCTCCGCCCCACCCAGGTGCGTAAAGTGCCTCGAACCCCATAACACGAAAGAGTATCCCCGGCCCAAAGACGCCGAATCCCCGCCTGCTTGTGTCCTGTGCAAACAGACAGGACATCCGGCTAACTACAGGGGTTGCAAACGCG